CAACAATCTTCAGATTTATTTTTTTTAACCTTACATTTACTTTGTTGCATCATGTCTCACACATATTAGAAGATAGATATTGGCTACTTGTGGGGGGGGGACCAAGAAAGAAATCAGCCAACAACGTTTCAAAGCTCCCCCAAACAATTTTCATTCTGCGCATGCGCGCTACTAGTCATATGTGAGCCCCGTGACCGCGCACGTGCTCATTCAGGGTGCGCGCACGTATAGACGGGAAGCAGGGCGAACGTGAAGAACGCAGCAGCCAATAACGAGTTAGGAGGCGTGGCCGAGCCCTGGAACGTACATGCAGAGATGGGGGTCAAGCTGGAGGTGTTTAGGGTAACTATCGGGGAGGCGGGAGTGACGTCATTCTTGGTGAAGAGGAATGGAAGGTGGGGGTCACTGTCTGAGTTCCTGGGACGGTGACCTTGGTTAACCTTTCACATGTCACATGTGTACTGTGTGTATTGCCTTATGTAATGTCTGTTAACAATGTATCTATGTGTGTGTGTGTGTGTGTGGTAACAATGTATCAATGTGTGTGGTAACAATGAGCCCACCACAGATCCTGCACAGCCCCCCTGAGATCCTGCGGATTAAGTGGGGGGGGGCGCTCTAGTTTCGTCTTGCCTAGGGCGGCCCCAAACCAGAGTACACCACTGTGTACAGATTGTGGATCTGTGGCACACTGCCATCTTTGTGATTACCTCCAATGTTATTTAATCACAAAATATGTGCATAGTGTACTTTACCAAAAAATTGCCGCCAGGCGCTACAGTGTTCGGGTTTGGCTTGAAGAAAAGGTGGCAACCCTAAGTCCATACTGTGTTCCTGGGTGGATTAGTGTCCATTGTGTACGGGGGATGATTTGCGTTGTTTCAGCGCATCACACTGTTTTTTGTTTTTTAACTTTATTGACCATGCCACAAATTGACACTCCATTAAAGTTAGTGCACCAACTCAAGTCAGCGTTGCAGCGTGAACGGGGCAGATAGAATACAATTGTTTTCCGCGTCCCCTGGCGTTGCAGAGAAAATGCCAGTCATCACACGTGGTGTAATCGGGCCCTTAAGGTGGACCTTGCTGTAAAATGCAGGGCCCCTATATACTGTCCGGGCCCCCTTCCCCTTTAAAAATAACACAATGTTAATAGTTACCTGTAAAGGAAAAAGTTAGATCCTGCATTGGACTTGGAATGCCTTCTTTTGAGATCTGACCAGAGAATGCTCTGCAT